CCGAAGATCTCTGTCAAGTCATCTGCATGATCGGATGCCCGGGTGCTCTTGACGATCATGTCGTCAACGTAAGCTTCCATGTTCCTTCCGAGTACCTTCCAGAACACCTTGGCCACCATCCTTGTGTATTGACGAGCACTTTGTCACGGTGCGTCAAAATAAATTCAATACTAAACACTTATACGTAGTATAGCGTAGTAGAGTTCGTATCCATAGGAAAAGGAATAATTCTCTTTTTTATGAAACTTAGTAAATAAAGGGGGGATTTGGATTGAGTGATTTAATTTAATTAAAAACTAAGATGAACGACCTATATGAGATTTAAGTCAAAGATAAAAAGGACTTGGCATTGCTACTTTCCACTTGTTGATATATTTTAGTCGATCATTGTTATATCTATAACTTATTCCCTCTCGAATACTCAATCGGGGAGTATATCCACTTCATCGAGGGTAGTTATTAACAACGACCGTTCATTAATAACCCTTACTATTAATCAAATATAGAACAACGCCTTATACCGATTTAATAGTAGCATTTAATCTTTCTAACTCCTTGACGAAATCAATTGAGATTGACAACCTCGACACAAGTGGTTTCGGTTTAACCAACAAAATTAATCCCTCTTAAGTTTATTAACCACGACCGTGCATTAATAAACCGAAGTTACTTACTTGTGAAACCATCAACGATTAACCATCGGTTCGTTGATCGTTTCTAGTAATAATTAATATATGAAACAAAACTAGTTGATCCTTTAAGTAATGTTCAAAATATTAATATGAAATAAGAGTAGGGATTAATTAATATTCAAGGAAGAATATTATTAAAGAAGATGAATCCTACTATAATTAATATCAAGATGTTAACTAATTGTCATCTTAGCAACACTCCCCAACATTAATATAGAGGAAGAAAATATCATTCTAACTAATGTCGAGATGTTAACTAATTGTCATCTTAGCAACACTCCCCAACATTAATATAGAGATGGTATTAAGGAAAGAACTATTAATTAATATTCAAGGCAAGAAGTTAAGAAAATAACTCACAACTTTAATAATCAACAAGCTTCAAGAGCAACACCAAGAATGGAAGTTTAGCTCCTCATTTGGAGACTAAACATAGCTAGAAAAATATAAAGAAATGCTATTCTAAACTGAGCTTAAGAGTATGGAAGAAGGGATGGTTTTATAGAAGAAAAAGTGTGCTATTTATAGGTGTTTTTCAACACCTTTGGCCGGGTACCCGACCGGGTCAAGTACTCACCCGACCGGGTCCGGTCAAAATCAGATATTTCCCCATGTTCTGGTGATCTTCTCGCCCGACCGGGTGAGGTATGGGGCCTGACCGGGCCCAGCTCTTTCCTCACTGCTTCGGTTTTCAAATCAGACCCGACCGGGTGAAATTTCCTACCCGGTCGGGTATTTGCTCCTGGACAGTTAAAATTCCTTTTTCTTCACTTCAACATCCTCCTTTCCAACATCCTAATTCCTAATTCTACTTTATAACTTACAAATGAGAACTAAAATACAATTACAACTAAAATCACACAAATGTTTACAAACCAAATAAAACGTCAAACAATCACCATCAATGAAACATAAAAAGATACAATTATGCACTACTAATTAGTGTGCATCATGTATGTCACCCCAGAATTTTTCAGCCCGAAAGCCATGACAAGATAGCAAAAAATTCCCTCTGAGGTGATGAACGAGGTCTTCTCCGCATCGTCTTCATGCATGAAAATCTGATGGTATCCTCAAAAAGCGTCCATGAAGCTAAGGAGCTCACATACGGCCATCCCATCGACTAGTTAGTCGATGTTAGGCAATGGGAATGGATCCATCGGACATGCCTTGTTAAGATCGGTGTAGTCAACACACATCCTCCAGGTTGGCGGCTTCGGAGCCAGGACCACGTTTGCCAGCCAGACCGGGTACAAGACCTCCCGAATATGCTTGATACTCAGGAGCATGTTGACCTCCTTCTTCACAAATTCCCTCCTCTCGATTGAGAGGTGTCTTCTCTTCTGCTGGACAGGCTTCGCTGTTGGGTCGACAACCAGCTGATGGACAACGATGCTTTGGTCGAGGCCGGGCATGTCCCCCGGTCCCCATGCAAAGACAACGCTAAAAAGGACAAGGACCTGGATGATCTTCTCCATCAAACCGGTCGGGAGCCCGGTCCCGATCTTGACCTTCCGTTCTGGCCTCTCGGGATCAATTTGGATTTCCTCCACTTCTGAGGTGGGTTCAGCGCGGAGCTGACCCTCCTCATACTTCACGGCTTTGTTGTTGATTGTGTGGACCCTCAAGTCTTTCTGACCGATTTATTTGCAAGCTTTCAGATAGCAGCTCATCGCCATCCGCTGGTCTCCCTTGGCAATTCCGACACCATTCGGAGTGGGGAACTTCGTGCATAGGTGCTCCTGGGATATCACACATCTGAGATCTTCCAGGGCCGGCCTACCCATGATGATCTTATGCGCACAAGTTAGGCGTACAACGATAAACTCGATGTCTAACTTGGATACGCAGGGCTCGGAGCCCACCATCACGTGGAGGACTATGCTGCCCTCCGACTCAATGGAGTCCCCGGTGAAGCCCGAGAGTGGGGTTCTCACTGGGATCAAGTCCTTTCGGGTATCCGGAGGTCGGCCGTGTAGGGCTCCGTTGGGCTTAATTTGGATGACCTGCAGAGTTAAAATTTCGGAGCTTCGAAATCCGAGGATTTCGGATGGGCAAATTCGTGATGATCTCGGATGAGCGAAAATTAGGTAACTTGATCTTTACTGGGATATACTCCTTCTTTGTTGTAGAAACCTTCTCAAACAGTAAGTTTCCAAGAACAGATCTGGAGATTAATTCAACCAAAAATTGTGATTTTGATCAAATTAATTCCAGAAAAATTCAAGGAATCAGAAGAACAGAATTGCGTCGAGGCTCTGATACCAATTTTGTGTAATATGCCCAGATTTCAACAGTCAAATAATCTAATAATAATAGAAAGAATTAAAACAGTAGAAGAGAAATTTCACCAGTAACGTATACCGTGTATATAGAATGATGAATCCATGAAGAAAAATTACTCAATATTCGAACATGCTAGAGAGATAATTTCTAATCTACGTGCTCTACCAGAATAATATGCGGAATGGATTGTGTAGAGACTTAGAGATGATTTCGACCAACTCCTGTATTTATAGGGAGTGGTTCGGCCAGCCCTATTACAATAACGAAAGCAACTTAGGCGTGTGGGCTTTAATTAAGAGCACTATATTTGGGCCTAATTCTCTCTCATCTAGTCTAATTAAAACAAAGACTCATTAAACAAATTACAAATAATTAGAACACAATAAAATAATATTCTAACAATTGTCAATAAAAGTCAAAGGCAATCATCGTGTGTTAGTTTGTAGTTGAAAAAACCGTTTTTTGTCATGATCAATGTTATGTGATTGTGTCAAGAGTAATCAATCGAAAGCAATGAGTCATTTGTTTATTTTCCAAAATAATTAAAAAAGAAATATAGGGTAAAAAGATTAGGTCGGTCGAGTCAACAAATTTTGCGATGGAACAATTTTTATTGCTTCGAGAATGAGGTGAGCACATTAGAAATCACTTGCGTGCTTTGAGATTGAGTCACTATTTGGCTAGATTTGTTTCTATTGGTGGAGTTGAGTGGTGAACACAATGAATGAGATTGAGTGTATCTTGGGGTGTATGTCTACAAAATCCCGATTACGCCCCCCCCCCAAAAAAAAAAAAATACTACTTCAATACCATAATGCCCCGGCCCCGTGCCTTGCAAGTTTACAAAGGCAGTTCTTTTAAAAAATGCAATTTACATAAATAATAGTCAGCGTATTAGTTCGAGGTTGTTGTCTAAAAAGAAGTGTTTCATAACATTTAGCAACAAGTCTTATGTGTTTTCAAATTATATCTATACCGCGTGTAATCAATGGTTAATCGAATTTAATATATTGCATCACATATCAAAATTCATTATTGTAGAGACTATAATTCTAAATTGTTAATTATTTTTATTTTAAATGATTCATTTAGAATTACAATTTTATTCTTTATTCCAAATTGACTAAACATGATAGAACAGGTGAAAATTCACCAACCGTGCATTGAAAAAATAAACTAGGCAATATGTTTTTATAAATGTGAGATCTATCGGTTGTGAACCGTGTGCGAATATAAAATCCCAATTACGGTCCCCCACCCAAAAAAAACACTACTTCAATACCATAATGCAAGTTTACAAAGGCAATTCTTTTTAAAAATGCAATTCGTATAAGTAATAGTCAGCGTATTTGTTTGGGGTTGTTGCTATAAAGAAGTGCTTCATAACATTTAACAAGTCTAATGTGTTTTCAAATTATATTTATATTGGGTGTAATCGGTGGTCAATCGAATTAAACTATTAACTTTTTTATTCTAAATGATTCATTTAGAATTACAAGTTTATTCTTTATTCCAGATTTGACTAAAAATGACTAAAAATGAAAAATTCACCAACCGTGCATTGTACGAGTGTTATACTAGTTTTCCTTAAATCAATTTAAGAAGATAGAGAACATTTAGATAAAAAAAAATCAAAATAAATTTAAAAAAATTCAGTTTTTTTTTAACATCTTCTCAATGGAGTTAAGGTGATTGAATACTTCATCATATTATTTGACCTCACCGGGTACTTTCACTTTTATGAATTTAAGTCAAAAAATGTTCAAAATAGAAGTAAAATATAGACAAAGTTTAAAATAGATTAAGCATGCCTTTGAATAGATTAAGCATGTCTTTTTCTACATAAGACTTATTTAATTGTACCATTAAAACCATGAGACATATTTAATTGGATTAAAAAATAAATGAATGAAATAATATTAAGTCCCTAAAATATGTAGACAAATCTGCTATATCTAGAAAATACTACGTATCTCATTTAAGTACAGTTGTATAACCGATCTGGTTCTTGTAGATGAGTCAGCCGGTTCTTGGTTGGTTCTTGACCTCGGTGGAGTGGCACGTATATAACCAAAGGGACGAGAAAACAATTAACAAAATATTCGTTGTAACATGTTTAATTTCCGAATCTCTAAACTTTTCTCCTCCTTTGTTGCCTTTGACCCAAGTACCAACTCAACAGTCTGACCTATTTTCTTACTAAATCTTGAAGTTATAGCAAAGATGGTTGCCGGAAAGTCGCCGGGAACGCTTCCCTCCGGCTGGTCTGAGCATATCAAAGTTAAAAAGGGTCGGAAAATCAAGGTAATCGAATAGCTTTTTGCTCATTTCTAGTTATCTAGCATATCCTATATAGAATATAGCTCAAAAATTCAATATTTAAAAACATAGGATGGGATGCATCCAATTAGATCAAGTGGTAGATCGGAAACTTGAAATTACTCGAAAGACAGTTTTCTTTGTTGTAGTTAGTCGAGTGAACTTGAAGAAAAATCTAGCTTTTGATTCATTTGACAATTTGTGGGCGAGTTTCAAATTTTAATGCATTGCGGCCAAGTTTATAGATGGCCAATCATATCAGGCCGGCCTGACGGGAATTTCAGCTATATATATAGAATATAAGGATCAAATGAGAAAGTGCTTATCGTAAGAAGTGAGAATGCATATGGTGCGTTCAATTTAAGATCTGTGCATCAGATTAGCAAAAAAGTGCACGGGAAAGTGCAAAAAATATTAAAAAAGTGGTGCTAGACGCAGTGGCATTTCCGTAATTAATCGGAACTTTTCTGCCATCGCAAAAAGTGCATCAGATTAGCAAAAAAATGCATCAAAAATAGGTAAATGTGTAACTTCTCACTTCTCATGTTAAGATGTCTTTTCATTAGAACCGGAACATATATATATAAACAGCGCAGTTTGTTTGAACGATTTATTTGACTGTTTTCCCGATTGAATTTTTAGCTGAAATTTGGTATGAATAAACTAGAATCGATGTAGAATCGATGTGGAATTTTTTGATGAAAATTTTATGGTATGTTCTTCATCAAGTCTAGTTTATCCACAAAAAATTTCAGATCAAAATTCGACCGAGAACACCTCCAAATGATTTTTTGAAATTGACTGTGTTTTTCTATTTCTAATTTGGCTCAGTCAACTACAAAAAATCATTTGAAGGCCTCCCGATCGAATTTTGAGCTGATTTTTTTTGTGGATAAACTAGACGTGATGAAGAACATACCATAAAAATTTCATCAAAAAATTCCACCGGGAACCGCCCCGAACGGCGGTGTTCGGATGGTGCTCCTGTCCGAACGTTCGGACAGGATAAGTTCTCTCTATATATTTATATACATGTGTGTGTGTGTATATATATATATATATATATTTACTCCAGGGGGTTTACTCCAGGGGGTCTAGGGGAGGGGGTCTGGGGGTCTGGAGTAATCAGGGCTGATACTCACTCCATTGAGTTTCAAACCCTTATGTGCCTAGCGGGTTTCGAACTCGAGACCTCCCACTAGGCACGGTAACCTCGCAACCAGCTGAGCTGGAATGCTTGGTTATTTATATATGTATATATTTATGTATGCGTGTGTGCATGTACACACACATACATATGTGTGTATAGTTTTCATTTTCTATGATAATTGTGTGGGTGAATAAAATCATATGTTTGCCTTTTATGTGTAAAAATAATTGGAGAAAGAATTTCCCACATTGGTATTTTGCATCTAATTGGGAGGAGAGTTCCGAGAAGTAATTAAAACAATGAAACTGTTATGTTGGCATACACTTTAAGTAGTTGTCAAATAAACCGTAAGAGGGATAGTTGGAAAGAAAATAAAACATCTATTTCCCAGGATCTTCCTTACTATGACTAGCAAAATGTGTATGTGCACGGGACTTGTAATGAGGGAGAGAGAGTCTTGTAATGCATGACAAAATAGGCACCTGGTTGGTCATTAGTTTGCATTAAGCAGAATTTATGTCGAATAAGAAGGGCCTAAGCATGAAAACATTTGGTTTCCATTTCATATTTGAAAATAAAAATATAAGGAGTATTACTTTTGAAATTATTCGAAACATGATATTGATATTGTCATAGTTATCAGAAATATGTATGTTTCCAATTTTGACACTATTAAAATCATATATTTTCATAATAAATAAATAATCTGAATCACAAAGACAAAACAAACCTACCGAAACATATATATTTAATTATTAATTGAAAATTAAATAAGACAAAAAACAAAGACTTCATTTGCATTTTTTAAAACAAGCGTTTCAGTTACAATTTAATTCTTCTCTAAGCATATGCTTGTTTTTGTAAGGTTATTCTTGAGGAAATGAGAATGTGATTCTGGTTTGTTGTTGGTTTACCAGCATTATGTAGACCCAGTCAGCGGATATTCTTTTCTTTCCAAAATGGATGCAATGCGCTACGTGGAAACGGGTGACATTGGGAAGTGTGTAAAAAAGCCCAAGAAAGATGACTATATGTTGGGAGCTTATAACAAATCTGTGAGTCTTATGTTTGCCGAATGTCCTAATCATTGATAACTTATCATTATTTTGCTAAATTTGCATAAGTGCAATTATTTATAAGTTCCATATTTCACTTTCTTATAAATCTTTTTTATTTCCGTAACATTTCAGATTTGAAATATCATGATAATAACTATGCCAGGATCTTCTTAAAGTTGCTTACATTGTGGTTGATATTGTTGGAATTTGCTGTAATTGCTGAACTAAGTAAAAAACTAAAATTATCATATTGATAAAATAATACACACACCCATAAGGGTAAAATGATTACCTTCTTCACCTTCAGGCAAAAAGCACCTCCAGTTCTACTGTTTTTCATTATTAACCAATCTCGCATGCACATAAGCTATAAAAAATTAAAATATAGGCAACTACACCGCCATGAATTCTTCATCTAGAAATATGACATGAGATGGATTTTAAACATGTTTCAGAATCACATACAAGAATCATCTGGAAATGAAGTGTCCAAAAATGAGAAACCTACCAACATTGAGAGTGACGCCTCCATACAGCCAACATCTGGAAATGAAGTGTCCAAAAATGAGAAACCTACCAACATTGAGAGTGACGCCTCCATACAGCCAACATCTGGAAATGAAGTGTCTAATGCTGTTTCTTCGGTAAGATGCCTCAAAAGGAATTGTTTAAGTGTTTAACCATATGTTGCAATAATATTTTCTAATAAGTAAAGTTATATCTATAGGTTGCTGTCAAAGACACAGTGGACGGGTTACCACCGGGTTGGGTTAAGGAAATCAAAACAAGAGTACATTCACATGGCAAAAAATGGGACCCAGTATGTTTTCTTTTTCATTCTATTTACGAAACACATTCCTTTTGTATAATGAGCTACTACTTTTATTGATATGGCTTTTTCACTCGCAACTTCATAGTTTATAAAGATTGTTCCAATATTTATAAGAAATAGTTGGCCTAAACCCAATAGGAATAGGAAAACTAGCTCCTAAACTTTATGATAGTAGATTAATAGGAAACTATAATAATATATGAACTAGGGTTACTGTATTTCTATATTTGAACATAGGCACTGTTAATGTGATCATGATTTTAGGATTGGAGTTTAGGGCTCTACAAAATAACTAATAATAGTATAATATCAACCTCATATATTGTGAATTATTTAGATTTAAAAGCAAAAGATTGAAACTTATCATGTACGGAGTATCACGTAACAATATAATTTTATTGAGATATCACGTAACAAATTAATTTAAAAAATCAATGTTTGTGCATTACAGTTGAAATTTCAATAATTATAATGAACTCCCTCCATCCCATTTTCTTAGATACTCTTGCTTGTATATTTTCTTTTTCTAAAAATATACTCACTTTCCTAATTTGAACTTGACTAACTTTATCCATCATTTCATCTTTTAACTTTTTTGGACCCATATATACTCTTTTGTCTTCCTTTTTGAAGGTTATAAGTTATAACTGTGAAAAACAACTCTCCTTTATTTTCTCAAAACCCCATGCCAAACCTTAATGTATTGTACATTTTGGGGCGGATGGAGTATAAAAGATCCTAAATTTTAATCTAGACAAGTAATAGTAATCGAAAAAAATAGGGTGACCATGATAAAAGTTTTAAGCATGTACTCCCTCCGTACCATTTTAATTGTCACAATAGGCTTTTCACGTAATTTAAGATAATGATATAAGTTTTCTTTACACTTTACAAAAAGTAGGAGGTATTTGGTACTGTAGTAGTACTTTATACTTTAAGGAAAATGGAAACTAATAATCCAACCTTTTATCGTTCTTCTTACAATAGTCCCACCTTTTCATTATTCATGAATAATCCAACCTTTGCACCCCATCTTCATTCACCGGTCCCTGACTGATTTATGACCTGTTATTCCAAGTTATTTTCTTATCTTTGCAAAACATTATGTGATCGTAAGGTGAGAATTATGATATAATGTTTTCCAAAGATAAGAAAATAACTTGGAATAACAGGTCATAAGTCGGTCCGGGACCGGTGAATGAAGATGGGGTGCAAAGGTCGGATTATTCATCAATAATGAAAAGGTGGGACTATTGTAAGAAGACCGCTAAAAGGTTGGATTATTAGTTTCCATTTTCCCTATACTTTATTAAAGTGCATCATAGTTGCTTTTAGGGTATATTTCGTTTCACAAATAGAAACGTGGCAATTAATTTGATTCAAGTCGATGATAGTCCCTGATTCTTAAACAATCAAACAATCGTAGCAGATAAAGAAGAAGCAGATAGAAAGATATCGGGATGAAACCAATCTGGTATACCGTGATAATGGTGGCTGCTCTCCCTCGAGAAGGAGAGTAGCGACAAACCCTCTCTCTATCTCGCCTCTAACTCTCGAAGCCTCGAAAAATCTTAGGGTTTCCATAAGTTAGCCTCCTTTTATAGGAGAAGTTGGCTAACTTATGGATTAAAAAGAAGCTAATGGGATGATATACATTTGTGGCCCATATTACACATTTAACTAATAACTACACAAATACAAAGATAATTAATTAGATTGGACACCGTAAAATATTCCTAACAGTCGACAAGGAATACGGGACCATTAAAGTGATAAGAAGGGAGAATTAATTAATTCCACAATAAAATATTGTCATATTATTTATGTATTGAAGGACCACAAGAATCTTTTATAGGACCATTAGAATCCTATGTATAATCTGGAGGGTATAAAAGACTTTGATTTTCTCTTGGTCATGAAGATTCTACCTATGATGCATATTCTTTCACAAGTTTTGTATCGTCCTTATCGTAGATCAGGATTGAGGTTTGAGATTGTGGAGTTATTAGATACTGTATTTATTATTACTTGTCTTTTTATAACCTTGGTGAAATTCTACCAATGATTTTACTATTATTGTTATAAATGAATTACCCTAATTATTCATGATTTCATTTGTCTTGATTTAACAGCTGTATATAGACCCTGTGAGCGGATATGTATTTTTTTCCAAAAAGGATGTTATGCGCTATGTAGAAACCGGTGATACTGGGAAGTGTTTAATAAGGCCCAAGAAAAGGGATTCTTTGTTAGAGACCAATAGCAAATATGTGAGTTCTCCTCTTTGCTGAATGTCTTTACGGTTTAATTCTTCTCTAAGCATATGTTTGTCTTTGTAAGGTTATTCTTGAAGAAATGAGAATATGATTCTGGTTTGTTATTGGTTTAACAGCATTATGTAGACCCAGTCAGCGGATATTCTTCTCTTTCCAAAATGGATGCTATGCCCTATGTGGAAACGGGTGACATGGGGAAGTGTGTAAAAAAGCCCAAGAAAGATGACTATATGTTGGGAGCTTATAACAAATCCGTGAGTCTTATGTTTGCCGAATGTCCTAATCATTGATAACTATCATTATTTTGCTAACTTTGCATAACTTTTGTTGCATTAGTACAACTAATTGCTATAAGTGCCATATTTCACTTTCTTATGATTGAATCTTTTTTTGTTTCCATAACATTTCAAATTTGAGTTATCATGATAAGAACAATGTTACGGTCTTCTTAAAGTTGGTTACATTGTGGTTGATATGGTCATAATGATAAAATAGTACACACAAACACACAAAAGGGTAAAATGATTACCTACGTCACCTTCAGGCAAAAAAGCACCTCCAGTTCTACTGTTTTTCATCATTAACCAATTGGGCACTCACATAAGCTATAAAAATATTGGCAACCAGACCGCCATGGCGCAATGACTTCTTCATCTAGAAATATGACATGAGATGGATTTTTAAACATGTTTCAGAATCACATACAAGAATCATCTGGAATTGAAGTGTCCGAAAATGAGAAACCTACCAACATTGAGAGCGAGGCCTCCATACAGCCAACATCTGGAAATGAAGTTTCCAATGCGGTTTCTTCTGTAAGATGCCTCAAAAGGAATTGTTTGACCGTATGTTGCAATAATAATTTCTAATATGTAAAGTTATATCTATAGGTTGCAGTCAAAGACACAGTGGACGGGTTACCACCAGGTTGGGTTAAGGATGTCAAAACGAGAGTACATGCACATGGCATAAGACGGGACCCAGTATGTTTCCTTTATCGTTCTATTTACGAAACACATTCCTTTTGTATAATAAATTACTACTTTTATTGATATGGCTTTTTCACTCGCAACTTCAAAATTTATAAAGATTGTTCGAATATTTATCAAAAATAGTTGGCCTAAACCCAAAAGGAATAGGAAACTAGATCCTTAACTTAATGAGAATAGGAAATTGTATTAATATTTAAACTAGGGTTACTATATTTCTATATTTGAACATAGACACGGTTATTGTGATCATGATTCTAGAATCGGAGTTTAGGGCTCTACAAAATTACCAATAATAGTATAATATCAACCTAATATATTGTGAATTATTTAGATTTAAAAGCAAATGATTGAAACTTATCATGTACGGAGTATCAGGTAACAATATAATTTTACCGAGATATCTTTAGTTATTAATTTTAAAAATCAATGTTAGATTGCTAGTGCATTACATTTTAAATTTCAATAATCATAATGAACTCCCTCGATCCCATTTTTTTAGCTACTCTTGCTGCGTTCTTTTCTTATTCTAAAAATATAATCACTTTCCTAATTTGAACTAGACTAACGTTATCTATCATTTCATCTTTTAAATTTTTTGGACCCATATACACTTCTCTGTCTTCCTGGTTGAAGGTTATATCTGTGAAAAACAACCATCTCCTTTATTTTCTAAAACCCCCGTGCCAAACCTAAATGTATCGTACATGTTGGGGCGGATGGAGTATACAAGATCCCAAATTTGAATCTAGACAAGTAATAGTAATCGAAAAAGTTAGGGTGACCATGATAAAAGTTTTAGGAATGTACTCCCTCTGTACCATTTTAATTGTCACAAGAGGCTTTTCATATAATTTAAGATAATGGTATAGGTCTACTTTACACTTTACAAAAAGTATGAAGTTTTTGGTATTGCAGCAGTACTATATACTTTATTCAAGTGTGTGATAGCTGCTTTTAGGGTATGTTTCTTTTCACAAATAGAAACGTGGCAATTAATGTGATACATCTTAAGATCGTTAAAGTTGTACGGAGTATTAGTTAATTCCATAATAAAATATTGTCATATTATATACGTTTTGAAGGATTGCAAGAGTCCTGTATAGGAACATTAGAATCCTATGTAAAATCTGGAGGGTATAAAAGACTATTAATTTTCTCTTGGTCATATGAAGATTCTACCTATGATAGGTATTGCTATAAAAGTTTCGTATCGTCCTTATCATCTATCAGGATTGAGGTTTGAGATTGTGGAGTTATTACATGTATTATTACTTGTCTTGTTATAAACTTGTTGAGATTCTACCTATGATTTTAGAGAATATTACCCGAAATAGGACTAAAAAGGTTTGAAAATTCCAAAATAGGACTGCCATGTTTTTATTCCCAAAATAGGACTAATTAATGCCATGTTTTGGCCGTACCAGACTTCAAACATGGCAGTATTTTCTAAACTTGGCAGTAATTACTCCTATTTTGGGAATAAAAAACATGACAATCCTATTTTGAAATTTTGAAATTTTCAAACTGTTCTAGTCCTATTTCGAGAACTTTCCCATGATTTTACTATTATTGTTATAAATGGATTATCCTAAAGATTCATGATTTCCTTTGTCATTTAACAGCTGTATATAGACCCTGTGAGTGGATATGTATTTTTTTCCAAAAAGGATGTTATGCGCTATGTAGAAACCGGTGATATGGGGAAGTGTTTAATGAGGCCCAAGAAAAGGGATTCTTTGCCAGAAACCTTTAGCAAACATGTGAGTTCTCGTCTTTGCTGGATGTCTTAATGATTTATCTTTGCTATATGCCTATATCCACATATTGACAGTGAAATCTTTTTCATGTTGTTATAATCCACAAAATATTTTACAAGAGGAAATTGTATTAACCGTGCTTGGGTGAACTTAAACTACTTGCTCTGCTGCACATGTTAAGAGATTGAGCCCACATAAAATAAACAGTTCGACCTTTTAGCATGAAGTCATGAACTATACTGCCTGCAATTATCGCAGCTCAAACTAGCAACTTGATAAGGTTAAAACTGAAAAAGATTGAACAAATTTCAAGATCAGTTTGCTCAAATGAGTCATAATCTTAAGGGAACATTAGTTGATTGGTTCCCACTTCGAATAAAAATAAAAATATAAACTAACATACGAGCTCTTAGGCTGTGTTTGGCTGTGTGGGATGAGGTAACCTTATAACCCATACGTTTAGGCTTGTACATTTTGACCTATGTTCACATTCAACTAAAGGTATGGAAGAATTAGATAGAGAAAAGTACAATGTTTGAATCAAAAAAATGTTACAGTTTGGTAGCTGGAGATTTTATGAGTCAGCTAGCGAAATTCAGTTTTCTGTGTTTCATTCTTTTCATTAGAAGAACTATAAATGGATGAAGATGCAATATGATATTCAGCCAGAAAATTACAATCAATACAATTCAAGTAAAGCTTACTCCTTGCAAATCTCTCTCATTTTATATTTCCTTTCTGTTTACCGATACAATCTGAACAAAGCATTGCTATCTGCTATTTCATTTTGGTGTTTCATTACCATTGAAGTACTGTAAAGCTTTCCTTCGGCATCAAAGAGACCCTTCTACAGGAATCAATATTCTTCCATACCGATTTCTTTGCAGTTGAGGTTAATTTAGGTAGTTAACTTGTGGTAAATAATGGTAACGTTTCGACTTCTGTAACATTACAAAGGCAGAAACAAATTGGGGCCAGGGGTGCCAGGGGAAGAAACAGCTGCTTATGTGTTGAGATTTTTAGGGTGGTTTGGTGAGCTGAAACGTAACTTCATATAATGTTACTATAAAGTCAAATCATATTACAGGCAATAAAACTCAAAGTGAAATCATTGTTAAACACTTAAAACACGTTGTTTCCTTTGTTCCTGGTTTCATTGTAGGATTCTCCTTCAGCTATTATGGGTAAGATAACCAGGCAGAGTATTTGTTCAAATGGAGAGACAAGAGTTACTGATTCGGGCAACGGTAGCACATCCAGTCGGTTCTCAAAAAGACTTGCTGGGCACAACCCTGAAGAAGTGGCCGATCTGGGTCTAGTAAGTGAACAGACTCTTCGGGTTGCTATCAGAAACCATGCTGGAACTGACACAACAAACACATCTTCTGCCCAAACCCTAAACGATCCACCCCCGCATGTCCATGATATCAGCAATTCCGTTGGATCTGAAAGAGACCCACCACTGGCCCCTGCTTGTCAAGATTTGCAACCCGCCACAAATTCTGGTGTGACTGAACCAGATGAGACAGTGGAGGGAGATAAACATTCGCCTGTAGCAGAGAACAGGGCAGTTTCAGAGGACCCGAAACCGATATTGGGAGATGACTCAGAACCTAAGTATCCGTTTGGAGACTGTTTGTCTGACCCGTGTTTCGAATTCGCTTTTAAAACACTCACGGGGGCAATATCTGTGGAGGACTTTATACCTTGTGAGCGTGCGTCCCACAAAGAATCGCACCCTCCACCGTCAGAAGCATGTTTTGACCTCCCAATATTTGATTCTTTTCCAAATGATATGCCGTCCGGATCTGCCCCTCCAGACAAGCACACCCCAAAGAATCTAATGACAGCAACTAGTCCTACTACTACTAAGGCTAAACCTTGACCCCTTCCCCTCCTCCCCAAACACTAAGGCTGCTTGTGAATTATGTAATCAATAATTAAGAGTTAGAAAAAGTTTCGACTTTTGGAGCCACTACTATTAGACAATCCGTACTAGGTCCCGGAGCCACTACTATTAGACAATCCGTACTAGGTCCCGGCTCCCGGGCTCTCATTTTTTGTGCGCTGGTATGTATTTTTATACCTTTGTCATTCTAATCACTTACTGTATGTTGCAAACCACCTAACAATTTCGTTTTATTTTGGCCTGACAAATGACTGGAATTGATAAAAATGGAAAAACTTCCATACGTGTTCACAAAAAGTGGAAATGATCTGATGGCAGTTAATATTATGTTGGTCTGAACCAAGGTTGTCAAAGTCGTGCGCCTGAGCGCTCAAGCGCACCACGCGCAACGCCAGAGGCCTTCGGCGCCCTACACAAGCCCAGTCTCACCATCCCCTCTCAAGCGCAGGTTGGGTGCACAAAGCGCAGAAGCGCAATAGTCGTTTTAAGCGCTCGCCCATTGCGCGTGCCGGGGAAGCGTTTATTTTAAGTAAATAAGTTTACTGAGGCTGTTTCACATGTGCGTTCAAATAAGACTATTAAGAAGCCCATATTTTTAATAAAGCCCATGCAAATAAGGTCAAAAAGACGTAACGTACGCTAAACACACAACGTAAACCTCCTCCTGCTGTGCGCTCTGGCTCTCTACTGTGCTCTATGGCTCTCTACTGTTACCTGTCGCTACCTGCTCCTGTCCCTCCACATCAACCATAAAGTTTGCAGCACTGTAGCACTCAATGTTGAAAGTAAACTTTCTTCTTCTTCATCTTTCATTCATTCCATGTAAACTACCATTATATTTTTTCACCATGTATATCAATATGTATATGTACATACTACCACTCTACCAGTATACATACTTTATTTTGGTTAATCGTGACATTATTATGGTGAAATATGATTTTATTTGATCAAATCATGACTTTTTAATGTAGTTGGTTCAATATGGTGTTATATACATCAGCTTAATCATTGGAGAATATGTGTGATATTTTCTAAGCAACGAGTCAGGCGAGCGTTTTTTTGCGCCTTGCGCCTCGGGCGCTGGAATTACCCCATCGCCTTGAGTGTGGCTCATGACTTTGACTACCTTGGTCTCAACATCTTCTGCGGTGAAGAAGAAATACTATGATGTTGACAGATACAATCGGGCTGTGTTTTATTAGTTCAAAATGATTCTTGATCATATTTATATTTTTGTCCGGTGTTGTCCGACGGATGCTATGATGAAACATCTTAGGGGACCGCAATTTCTAAGTAAGGTCGGTTCTGGTTCAATTTTGAATACGGGTTGAGGTCTGTTGTGCACTTTATTTAAAAATATTGAGTAATAAACACGATGGATCAGAACTGGAACTGGTCTTTTTCGATTTTTAAGGAAGGATAGAAAACTCAACAAAAGCAGCAGAACTTTAGGTGGAATTCAGGGAAATCTCAGAATTTCCTTAAGCAGCTCCAATGGCATAAGCACTTCGAACAGTCTCCTCGGAGCCTAAACCAATTCCCAATTTACGTCTAACATCCCATCTCCAATAGTATTAGCTCCTATTTATACTACCATTACAATTATTATTAGAGAAAAAGAGTCAAATAAGACCTTCTACTATTATGAAATAGTCACGTAAGGTCATGTACTAAGTGTTATAAGTATCTCTACTTGTAAAAAACAATAAAATGAGTCCTAATGACCTATTTAACATCTCTTTATCCCGGTTTCAACGTACTTCTGACCATCTTTTTAGAATACATTATACAGTATATATCGAATATTTAACTAAGATTGATTGAAATACAAGTCAAAAAATCGACATGTAAGCTAAAATCGGGATTAGAAGGTGTTCAATAAGCCGTCAGGACTCATTTGATTGTTTTATAGAAGTAGAGGTATTTTTATGACACTTTATTGAGTACATGACCTTATGTGACTATTTCATAATAGAAGAATGCCTTATTTGACCATTTTCTCTTATTATTAGCACGAATGTACCCGGTTCCGTATTTGAGAACTGAAGTGAAATGAAGTATAGCTCACTGATTTAGTTTTGGAATTGGATTTTTTTATCGTAAATCAAACAATTATATTAAATCGACAAAACGATAGGATTTTGTTTGTGTTTTTCTTTCGTTGTTCCTGTAATGATCTTAATTGAGCCAATGATAGGTAAACCATCTCATCACATGACTTAAACTCTAGAATCTTTCTGCTAGGAACCCAAAACAACATGCAATTCGAAAGAAAAACACAAACAAAATAAAACAGAATTAAAACAAAGTCTAATCATCTTCTCCAAATCCTAGACTCTCTTGCACTCCATGTTGGCGGCTCGGGAGGGGACGAGCCCCTGAAAGTGATTGTTCCATGCGGTCCGCAGGTTCCTCCTCATCAAGTACCACTTTGTCATTCTCAGTCCTGATCTCCTAAGCGTTGCACTGCCCAATAAACTTTTCCAATCTTTCTTGCGTCGGGTCTACCTCATCCCCGTCCGGTCGCGACTCGCCTGTCTTGGCCTTGTTCGCGATCTCTGCTATATAGGTGCCGCGAGGCTCTTCCATGAGAAAGGTGCCAACCAAAAGCAGTCGAAAGATTTCATAGCCGCTGCCCATAATTCCTCTTCTTCCGCCAACAACCAAGCCTGCTCCTTCCCCTCGAGACATCAACCGATCACCCTCAAGTTCCAGAGTTCTCAATGGCAAGAGAAACATCAACCCGCATACGCGAGACTGCTGCCTAGGGTTCCTACGATGCTCTAGTTGAGCGTAATTGAATAGTTTTGAAATTGAATTAGATATTGTCTTTTGAAAATGAATTGGATTAGATATTAATGAATGAAAATACTTATTGAACATTAATTACTGAAAGTTATTTTTTGATAAAAAAAGGAATTAACGAAAACTAGAAAAAATTCTCGAAATAGAAGTAATTTTTTTTGAAATTCTAAAATAGGAGTGTTATTATTGTCACGTTTGGAAAATACTGTGATGTTTGAAGTCTGACAATGCGAAAACAAGACAATAATTACTCTTATTTAGAAAATAAAAACATAGTAGTCATATTCTGAAACTAGTAAGCATTTTTACTCTTATTTTGGGTGACTTAAGATGTTTTTACTTGAATTGTTTTTAGTCTCAGACCAGACCAGTTCAGATCAGACTTCCGTAGTTATACAATACAAAAAGATCAGACGTTTATCAGACTAGACCAAATTAGCAAATTTCAATCGATTAATAAAATTTTAATTACGAAAATTAAAATTTTAATTAATAAGTATTCAAAATATATTAGTTTTCATTAATTAATTAGTTTTCATTAGCTTAAGCCATAGGTGCACACGGTGTCACATAGCCGCATAGGATCCAAAATAGAGAATTGAAGGCCATGTCAAATATGCCACTTCAATAAGATTTAGGTAGTGTTTGCAAAAACTTAAAAAAATGTTTTTCAATTTTTATCACATCTCGATGTAAAAAAAATAAATTTCATTAATTGTTTTTAATTTTTTTTGGTTAACAAAAAATGAACTTAGTTCAAGTGAAGTTCAATTATGTAATATTCAGTTATTTGTGAAAGTTTCATGAATCAAAAATTTGTGTTTTGTGTTTTTTGGGTTCAAGAAAACTTCAAATCTTCAACAATAAAAGTTTCAGATTTTTTTTTTCATTTTATATACTATCGTATTACATATTGATGTCATGTGAAATATCATAAAATTTCATGAATTTTGATATATTTTTTGAAATTTTTTTTAGAACAACCATCTATCCCCTTTCCCACTTTTAATCTCTTAAACTCCTCCACTACACCAAATTAAGAATAAAAAATCTTCATTTTTAACCTTTTGCCTCCTAATCTCAGTATCTCACACAACTCCAAATGATCGTATTCATGTAGTGTATATAGTAAGAACATACTACGTACTAGTATAACAAGACTTAAATAGGTTAGAGTGTTAGACAATTAGTTTATATTTATTGAATTCAGCAACTCAACTTTGAATATACGCACGTATGATATCAATTTAAGCCACATTATTCAAAAAAGAAACATCTATGATTTTAGCGAGAATAATTATACCTAACGTTTACGACTACCCAATCATGACTCATGATAGTAACTTGTGCATCAGCTCTGTTCAAATTATTTTCGCATTGACAAAGTTATTAGCATTATTTCCTCATAAAATAAGACTCATACACTTCTAATTAATAGAGTTCTATTCTTTTAATATAAGATCAAATAAGTCATATTTAATTTAAGGAATTATAAAAATATAATTCTATTTATACACTTTGATTAACGTTTATTCCTATTTAGAGCTATTGCTATTTTTTTACCACCCGACCCAAAAGTTCAGGTTTTTGCCCGATTCACCAAGGTTATATCCAACAAGTCCGCAGTTTATATCCTGGGATCATGGTGCGCCCCATCCCAAAACGACGCAACATTCATTTCTTTTATTTGTTTTATTGTTAACAATTGTAATAAATTTTTTATTTGATATCCGGTTTTTATAAATTTTATATCATTTTTTTTTATTTTTCATGATTTATGAAATGAGACCAATATTGCTTATGTAATTTTAACAAATTATTTTGAAGTTACATTTGATAATATATCATGAAGTTACATCTTCTTTTGCGCGAGTTACATCTTATTGTACGCGAGTTACATCTTAATATACACGAGTTACATCTTAATGTATGTGAGTTACACCATGAAATGAACCCCTGCTACATCTTTCATTTTTATCATTTGAAAAATAGTGTATGAATATGAAATACAATATACTTATTTTATGTGGATTAATAAAATTTTGTATTAAATTGGCAAAGAAAAAAATTAATTCAGTTGTAATTGAATTAGTTCAAGATAAAGATAAGTAAAAAATCACAAATAATTAGATATAACTCATCCATAATTACATGTAACTCGCGCATAAATGTATGTAACTCGTGTATAACAAGATGTAACTCACACATAATTACATGTAACTCTTGCATAAAAGTATGTAACTCGTGTATAGCAAGATGTAACTCACACATAAGAAGATGTAACTCACACATAATAACTTGTAACTGGAATATAAGATGATGTAACTTCGTATATTATCAAATGTAAATCCATGCTAGAAGCAAAATAAACAAACTCAATATCTTAAAAACCTCTAAAATCATATAAAAGTGATAAAAAAAATATTATAGAAAAAGTGTATGCATATAAAAATATATTACAAAAAAATGTATGAATGTAAAAAATTAAAATTACATAGGCAATATTGGTCTCATTTGAAAGATCATGAAAAATAAAAAAATTTGATATAATTTTTATAAAAATCGGATCAAAAATAAAAAAATTATTAACAATTTTAAGAAAAAGAGAAATAGAAAATAACAAAAGGTGCATGATGCTCACCATGCACCGATCTCACGGTATAAGCACTGAATAAGTAGAATTGTACAATACTAGTGGAAGATTATTGAGAGGAGTCCGCCCCGTCCCGTGAACGGCACATGTCCAAATTTGTTGACGCATGACCCGCCCCATGCGGAGCGGGGCGGGTCCGCCCCGCCGCAACCTAATTAGCTAGTATGTATTTTTTTGTGGGAAGTTGTTACCAATTGAATCTACATAATGTTTATCTCTAAATAATAATTAAAAATCAATATATTAAATCAATTCATGATACGCTCAAAATTTCAAAAATTAAAGAAAAATTACTCAAACTTGAATAGTTAATCTTATTAGTTATATTAATAATTGACTATATGTATTAAAAATTCTATATATAAAGAAGACATTGATAATCCGTCGTGCATCTCATTATAATATATACTTCGTATTCATATATTATAAGATCAAAGAATTTATGATTTATTGTATATACACATATGTATGTTGAAGTATATTTGTAGTATAGTTTAAGAAAAAGTATGTATACTTATATATTCAGCGGGTCGGGGCGGGGCAGATCGAGGCGGTACGGGTCAATTCTAATACTCAGACCTGCCCCATTGTATAGGCGGGGCGGGGCGGACCTGCCCCATTTGCAAGACGGGGCGGGGTGGACCCGCCCTAAATGTCTTGGGCCAGGACGGGTCAATGAGGATCGGTTTTTTTTTTGACATCCCTAACTAATACAAAAATTCCTTATTTTATTGAAAATATCCAGTGCTACGTTCTATATCTAAATCAATAGATACCTCGTTTTCGTTCAACCCCTACATGCTACATCCTAGTGTAAGTACATCCAATCCAAGTGACAAAGACAGCCCATTACTTCATAATATCGTAACTCTATCATAGATTTTTTTTTGTGACATTTTTGTAATTTAAGCGTAAAATCACGACTTTCGCTATATGAGCATTATTGTACTTTTAGTGAGCATCTGACATATTTGATTGAGTATTGAGAGGTTAACAATGAGCATCACAATATTTGCTTCACATTTTCTAATTCATTTTTTTCTTTTTTTTTCTTTTATAAAAACGTATTAATTTATATCCGTAATACACTTCTATGAATTTGAATATGTGAATTTAGTGTAATATGATACTTTTGAAATATGCATTGATATGACATTTTAAAATGAGCATAACATAAGAACCAAATGAGCATACATAAATCACAAAATGTTCATTGATATGAAAATCATAAGGTTTGTTAGTTTAACATAACGATTTTCGTTGAGCATCAAACCTCCTCTATTGAGATAAAAACCACGGTTTCTGTTAAATGCGCATTAAAGATCTTTTAATGAGTAGCGGACATAGCTTTCAAAAAAACATGATTATCAGACCTATTTTGTTGAGTATTATTGAGCATCGTGACTTCTGCTTCATAAATTTTTTGTTATTTTTTCTTTTATAGTAAATTTTTAAATTATATCTATAATAGACTCTTATGTATTCCAATATATGAATTTAATTTAATATTAAACTTTTGGAATATGCATCAAGACATTTCATTGAGCATCAAGACATTTTCATTGAGTATCAACTTTTTTCTATTGAACATTGGAACTTCGCAATTGAGTATCATGGTATGTGCTCTCGTATCTATAATCAATTCTCATGTAAATCTAATGTAATATGATACTTTTGAAATATGTATTGACATAACATTTTAAAATGAGTATAACACAAGTACCAAATGAATATACACAACTTACCAAATGAGCAATGATATGAAAATAATACGCTATGTTAGTTGAACAACAAGACATTTTCATTGAACATTAAACTTCTTCTATTGAGTATCGGAAACATGCAATTGTGTATCATGTCCTTTGCTCCTGTGTATATAAACTAACTCTTATATATGCGAATATGATATGATACTTTTGAAATATGCATCAATATGACATTTTAAAATGAGTACAAAACTAGTACCAGATGAACATACGTAACTTACAAAATGAGCATCGGAAAATTCAAAGGCTCGTTTAAATTCTCTAATGTGTTTAAATGTTCATTTGTGCACATATATTATAATGACAAATATAGTAATGACAAATATAGTAATTTTATTATATTAAAAATAATTTAATAGTCTTTCATTCTAGAATTATAAATATAATCGAGTTCTTTTTATAATGTTTACCCAGACATATTTATTTTTACACTTTACTCATTTCAATATAACACAAAACTCATGGTAGTAATTAATATATAATATTTAATAAATTAATAAATATTCATGTTAAAGTGAAAATAGAAAAATAACACATGAACACCTTAAATATTCCTCATAAATT